TGATTACAACACTTTGAGCAAAGCGTTTCACACCACAACGTCTGCACTAAGAGTTTTAAGTAAAGGTTAAAGTATAGAACCAAGGGTTAAGAGTTAGTTACACAAATTAAAAACTGCTTGTTTTGCAAAGTTAAAAAAATAATAATAATTTGCTCTAAATAAAGAAGGGCTGCATATCAAGGTTTGTTAAAAAATGTGGAATGCCAAACCCAAAAAAATTAATTCAAAGAATTATGTAAAAAATGTGATATTAGAAAAAGTTAAGAAAAAATATTACGGAGTAGATACCAAGCTGAAATTCTTTGTATTCTCTTTAACACGCAGCATTTCAGGAGTGTCCTTTACAGTAGACACTTTGCCCTTTATGTTTTTAAGGTCAGCCTGGTATTGAAGCTACAAGGAGAAAAACAAAAGTGCAGTTAAGATGTTTCACAATGAAAAAGAGGTCAAGTCTTCACGTATATCCCTGATTAAGGCATACAGTGCACAAAACTAACTGGAGTAGAACATTAAAACAGTACATACAAACAGAGGCACCTCCAGAATTTTTTTATAGGGGTGGCCATGTGGGGGCCACAACTAAAAAAATGGGGTAGCACAGCAAAAACAGAATTTCCCATTTTATTATGCAGTTGTGAAATATAGGTTACTTGAAAAATATGGCAAAAAACATAGAAGGAAAAGAATAATTATGCCTAGCTTAGTTCTCTGTGAAAACCAAATAATATTATGAAATCCATAATAATCTGTTTTAAACAGGATTAAATGAGTAAATATATGGTGTCTTCCTCTCTTTTGTGCCCATGTTTATTAGAATTATTACCAACATTGGACAATCTTGCTGGGTGGGGGCATTCGGTGGGGGGGCAGCAAATTTTGAAGTGTGGCTAGTGGCCCCCTGTGGCCCCCCCTTGGTGGCGCCCCTGCAAACATATAAAGTACTGGAAATATAATTTTACAGCAGCTATAAAGACGCACATAGAGACACAAGATGCTGAAAGAACCTCAGTCAGGACGTGCTGACCTGTCAGGACGTGCTGACCTGTCAGGACGCGCTGACCTGTCAGGACGCGCTGACCTGTCAGGACGCGGCGTAACTCCTTGTGTGTTACTTACAGTGCTGAAGTTCTTTTGGTTCTCGCGGACTCGCTGCATCTCTGGAGTATCCAGGACTGGTACATAGTGAGACATGGTCTTCTCAGCCTCCTCTTTGTATTTTTTCTGTTTGGATGATAATACAATTTGTGATTTTTTTTATATATGCTAATGATTTATCCTGATGAGAGTGGTGGCTGGGTCAGTTCAGTAACCTACCTGGCTGACGATGTTCTTCATCTGCTGAGCATGGATGATGTCAGGGGTATCGATGACAGTTGTGTAGCTGGCTCTGTCCATCTCAGCGGTCTGCTTGTACTTAGACTGGAAAAGAAAAACAGCCAGTCAGCACTGATCATAAATGCAGCGGAAAATATTAACAGATATTCCTTTTAACACCGGACGTGTGCTCATAGTTTCACCAAACGTTAGTTTTATTTATTGTACCATTCTAGCCTATCTCTTGTCTTCTGAGTTTTTGATGCCTGTTTTTATGTTCGTGAATACAAATTGACCTGAGCTGTCATTTTGTATTTACTCAAGTTCTTACTTTGACTTTGTTATTTGTGTTTAATTCCTTCACTGTTCCCTTGTATCTGTGTGCTGTCTCTATTTAGTTAGTTCCCATTTTCCTCAAAGCTTGATTTTTCTTTGTGCATTATGTAAGTTTACCTCCAATGTTGTCATTGTGCTGACTTTTTTCACCGGTGTCTCATTCCCCACATGTCTCCCCTTCCCTAATCAGCCTGAGCCTAGTGTGAAGAAATAGCCCTCTCATCATCCCAGTCTTACTCTGTCTAGTCTAAATGTTCGACTTTTCTTACTCTTGGAATCTTTTCAGTCCACCTTAACATGCAATCACTCTGTTCGACACAGAATATGTTGCAAATATAGTTCCTTCTTTGTCTTCTTTTAATTTGGTTGTTACTATCTGATTACCTTAATCCTGAATCTAATTTTTCCCTGCTAATGATGAGATATAACACGTGTTCTGGAGCTAAAATAGTTCTTTTTTTTCTTTTACATAAATAATTAATTCATAATACCTTCATTTCATATCAGGGGCCTGCAGCTCACACTCTGGAAATCACTGCTCCAAGAAAGCGATGCAAAAAACATTTAAGATTCAGACCTGACTGAGGATCTCTGTGGCATTCTTGGCTCTCATAAAGTCTGGGGTGTCTGTAGCCAAAGCCAGCATTCCCTTGCCCTTGATCTCCTGCTCCAGAGACTTTTTGTACTCTCTCTGTAAACACCAAAAGTTAAAATTTTTACACATGATAATGTTACTCTAAAAAAAAAACACAAAACGGGGTTTCTACTCATTCATACTGAAGAGGGCTGCAAAACCAGAAATCATGAGGGGTCAGAGAATAGAGAAAGTTAGCAGAATCTACGTAACGGATGTGGTAACAAGACTGAGTGTGAAGCTTGACACAGAACTGAAAATAAAACAACAGCAGTCAGCAGTTAGAGACATGACATAAAAGAGACTATTTCTACTTCTTCAGTTTGTTCATTAAGTCATTATACATCTATCTTGCAATCTACAAATCAACCTCAAATGCACTCAGAGTATATCTTTTCAAAAACAACACTACCGACAACAACAAAACAATTAAGAGATCTGCAAGCACCGGGATCACTTGTGAAAAAAGATAAAGTCATTAAAATTCTATAAAAATTCAACATTGCATGTTTGACTTGAAAAACAAGAGAAGAGAAGATATTCTTTGGGTACAACTGAGGCTGATTTTTGTAGGATTCATAATACGCAAATAAATATGAGTACAAGTGAAAATCATGGCAAAATTAAATAGGGTGCAGATGAAGGTTAGGTTATGGTCATGAAACACAAAATACAATGATGGGAAATTAGTGACATAAGAAAGCAGGGACAAGAGGAAGAGTGAACCCAACAGTCTCACTTTTAGTGCAATGGTGAAGCTTAGTTAAGAGGGGATAGGATTCATGAAGAGCGAGATTGTTGGAAGTCATTCGGATGAGAGCGTGATGTTGTTCGCATCACCTCTCGGTCAGTCGTACCTCACACAGGATTTGAGTGGCATTTCTTGCTCTCAAAAGCTCCGGAGTTTCCTCCAGTACAGTTAGACCTTTACCCTTCACCCCCTCCTCTAGATCCTTCCTGTACTCTTTCTACAGGACGGAAGAAGAACAGAGAGACTGCAGAGAAGGGCACACAGGCAGGCCAGGCCAAAGCACACAGACAGACAAACGATACAGTCGGCAAGTTCTGCTGCTTGCCTTTAAAAAGCTCAAAGTCACCAAGTCTTTCCAAGTTACGCAGAGACACATTCACTGCTTTTATGTATTATCATTACAATCAGTGATATTGTTACAGAGAAAACTGGAGACGTTGGTGATTTTGGCAGGATTCTAATGAAAAAACAAGTTGAAACACATTTAATCAGAAAGAGCAGAAACAAAATCTTCATTAAAACAACAAGAAAATCAACAAGATGGGAATTCACATCAGCATTTCACCCTGTTGCTTCACACAAATGATTACATGCATGCAGTCTTGTCACATAAAGTTGGTGGTAAACTACTACTTGGTGAAGGACTGTAAAATGAAGATCTATTCAATATTAGTTGAGTACTTTACTGCTAGGAAGACACATGATGGCTGGAGGATGGGTAGGTCATTATTATTCTGTAGACAATCATGCAAAAATTAATAATAAACTAATAATACTGCAAAAGGCAAACTGGGAAGGGCTAAAAAAAAGTGGTGAAAAGAAAAAGAGACCGATTGTGATGTTGTCTTAGTACGATTATGAAGCTTGGGTGAGGTAAATAGGAGACACCATCAGATGTAAGTTGTCCTTTAGTTACCTCACTGGCTATTTTGGTGGCGTGTCTGACATGAATCATGGCAGGGGTGACCTCCAAGCCTGAGAGGTTCTTTCCCCTCATGTACTCCTCAAAGTCCTTCCTATAGTCTTTCTATTGGTCACAGAGATAACACAAGGGACAGACAGAGCTCAGATAACCACATGCAAGCAGTGCTGGTTCACAATGCAGCTCCCTTCATTCTTGTTTGCACCATTCTGCTCATGATAGCACCCATAACTGTATATCTGATGTCTGTAAATGTGTCTGAGTGCATGTGTGGAGGTGTAAGAGGTGTTTGTTGTGAAAAAGCAACTACACTAGGATATCGTATTGTAATTAAAATCTATAAAGCAGGCTCCAGGAAAGAGGCCAAACACATACTTTACTTTGACATCTTGACAGGAAAATAACCTGTCATAGCATTAAGTGAACAATACAGAAGCTGAGTTTCCCTTCAGCGCATTTTACACTGCCACAGTATTACAATAGGACGACTGTAAAGAGCTACTGATGTGAATTTTCTGCAATTTAAAACATTTTGCGACTATAAAATTACTGAATTGCAGTTTTGGTGTAATAAAGTTACTAAAGGCATTGTAAAATGTTTTTCCATACTTTAGATTCATTCTGTAAGCATAACATAAACAATGGCTTTGCATCCAACTAGCAACAAGAGGCAACACAATACAAGTTAATATAGCGCTTAAGGAGGCACTAAAGATTTTAAGAGAGGTCTGCAATGGGAAAACGTACTGCATCTGTGCGTACTTCATTGGCAGAGGTTAACAGAAGGCTTATTTACCTGACTCTGCATGTGCTGAGCCTCCTTAGCAGTCACATATGTGGGTGTCTCAAAGTCCAGCATAGGTTTGCCCTTCTCCTTCTCATACTTCTCCTTGTATTTCACCTGTAACGACCCACACAAACATACTCAACTGTCTGCAAAGGAAAGACACACTGTGGGGATATCACATGGTTTCCATTAATTTCTGTACGCTGGGAAAATCAAACAGAAAAGCTGTAAGGTGTATCCATCCAGTAAGATTCAAGACAAGTTAAATTACTGTAATTAATGTAAATGAGAACAGAAAAGAAAAGCTTGCACGGCTCTTCACTGCGACTGATTATGCAATCAAGGTATTTAACAATGACTTGATATGAGAAATGACTCCCTGGAAAGAAAACTATAATACCAAATATGCTATATCATAAACAATTACAAAATGAGTATTTTTTGTTTTTATTTTATTTTTTATTTTTTTTTAAAATATCAATTTTAACAGCATTTTTTTAACTAACACAATTACAGTTGTGTGGGCAAAATCTCTGCTACGGTACAGCAAAGAAAAGATTGAACAAACATTTTTTGTTAAATGCCTTACTGAAACTGAATGGTTAATAAATAAATATCCAATTCTACATCTGCCTCTTTGTTCGGCCCATTAAAATTGTTACAGTATAATAAACATAGAAAGTATTATCAATTCAGTTCAATTCAATTTTATTTATATCGCGCCAAATCACAGGAACAGTCGCCTCAAGGCACTTCATATTGTAAGGTAGACTCTAAAAATATACATACAGAGAAAAACCCAACAATCAACCTGTGAGCAAGCACTTTGGCGACAGTGGGAAGGAAAACTGTCTGACACAGTTGAAACCCACAATAGTGGTTTTTTTACTGTGTCGAGAGCTCGTTGCCCCACGGGAGTATGAACCACTTACGTTACTTTGAAGTTCAGAAGCCTCCTTGTGATGGAGCTGTTCGGGTGTGTCGGGAATCATGTGGTAGTGACCCTTACTCTCCTCAAATTTCTTCTTGTAGCAGTACTATGGGGGATTCCCAGTAAAGTAAGGCAGCTCAGTACAGCGAATCATTACTTAGCAGAAAATCCTCATAGTTTATGATAGAAAGAAACATAATAGCATTTAAACATAAGGGTTTTTAAAGTTATGTTAAAATAATTGTAAATCTACAAAAGGCAGGAAGAGGAAGTCGGTGTTAAGTGAACATTAATAAAAGACTAGTTTTGTTTGAACTACGGGGGGGAAAAAGTCACTGAAAAGGTTAAGAAGTAGAGGTTATAGAGGGTGATAGTATTCGGGGTCAAAGGTCAGAAGTGAGATGGGTAAAGATCACTACCAGATGAGGTCAGAGAATGATGGATGTCTTTTATGATGGAGCTTAGTGCATAAATCCATGAGATGGTCAGCAGTTTGCTACATTTTGCCGATTGTTACTGTGAGGTGATGGAAACAGAGTTCAGCACACTGTGCAACGAAACCAAACTCGCTCGCTGCAGCTTCCTGTTTGGGAATGTGAGAGGGTTAAAGGTTAATAGTCACACAGGTAGCTTACGTCGCTGGACAGCTTGCTGGTGCTCGTGATGTGCTTCATGGACAGGGACTCGGCCATGTCGGTCACAGGTTTGTGGATCTTCTTCAGGTCACCCTTGTACTTCACCTGTGTGTTATATTGACAGCAGTCACATTAATTAGACACTATGGTAATATATAATGGGCGATATTTGTTTGAAATGGTGAATTTCACAGAAATGTAAAGAATTACTGGGATACATTTAGTTTGTCTCTGTTCTAGTAACAACACCAGGATGCCAAAATCAGATATTGCTTTACTCCCATAGATAAACCAATCAGACAAACTATACAAAAGTATAACAAGTGTGGAAAATATGAATGATTTTTTTGCCCTATGATAAAAACGGTGTGAAGTGATGATAAGATACGCGAGCACCCACCTCACTGGCCAGCACACTGGCTTCCTTGAGAGTCTTGTAAATCTTACTTTCCTTCAGGTCATATTGAGGTTTCTTTCCTTTCATCTCCTTATCAAACTTCTCCTTGTACTTCACCTGTTCATTAGCGTAGGATATGTGTACAAGTTAGTTTATGTATTGACTGAGAGGAAACCAACATCAGCCGACGTCTCCATCATAGTAAAAAACAACTGAAGGACAACAGTTTTTGGATTTGATTAGTGACTCAGATTCCTCGCAGATAGTTTTATAAAAGCTTTGCACAGGCTCTGCGCCACATTTTAAGTATTTAATTTGTTTTTTCTTTCATAAATATGTAGAGCAGTAATGAAAAGCGTGTAATAGATTGGTTGCAAATGTAAAACTGATTCTGATGCATTTATTAACTTTAAAGTTGATCAAACTGATCAGACAAGATGCTTTGTACTGTAAACATATGCAAATAAAGCATCCTGTAATTCACATAAACACAAACATGAACTTCATATATAATAAAATATATATGGAAAAGGTAAGGCGGTGTGGTTGTGGACGCAGGTCAGGCGTGGTTTGGCTCCACAGGTCAAACCACTTTAGAGTGAAGGCAGAACACAGGAACACGTTTGAAAAGGTGTGCTATAAAAACATGTGTATATCTAACAGGAATTATGGCTAACTTTTCACTACTGTAACCATATTCCAAACTTTTAGGAGGGCCTACACCACCCCTTAGGATTGCGATGAAAATGGAGCACAGCACGGTGAACTACTGGACATACACATGTTTTTAAGAACAATTCAAGTTCATTTTTAGAAAAGCCTTTTGTCACATTCAGAAACAAATAGACATGGAGACTTAAAGGGAAATAGTGGGAAAAATCTGAAAAGACAGTTTAAATAAACACATAGTATTAGCGCCAGGCAGCTAATGCAGTAACGCTGTTCTCTATGCTTAGCAATGAGGCACATCTTGTTATGGAAATATAAAAAAATAGAGGGTGGACACTGCAAAGAAAAGAAAGAGCAAATCAAATAGGAACTTTGTAAGATTTGATTTGTGAATCAATATTTTCTCAAAAGTTCCAGATGTTTATCTTAAAGGCTCAGTGAACCCTGTATTCAGCCAGTCTGTGGGTCAGCAGGAAGGGGGACAGAGAGACAGAGAGGACAGACAAGCAGCAGCAGTCCGTCAGTTTTAGGGCATAAACCTCCTTACATCACTAGTCACCGCACTCATTTTCTTAATGTGGCGCATCAGGGGGGTATCATAGGAAGCTGCTCCATGGAGGGAGGGCTTATCCTCCACCTACAAAGCGCAGTGAGATGGAGGGATGAGAACACACAGACTAGGATGTTATGGAAGTAGACAGAAGAGGAAAGAGATTAAGGTTGAGAAGAAGAGTTATAGTATTGAAGGATGGAGGAAGAGGAGGACAGGTATAAGGATGGTGGTGGGACATGTACAATGGTATGGTTAAACATCTATATCTACTTTCATGGAGTAACATGGATTATAATGCAGGATGGCAGAGGAAGCGCAGTGGAAGAGCTGCTAGTTGTATCATTAGGCCAACACGACTGCTGCTAAGCATCTACCACAGCACTACTAGTCTGCTAATATTAGCTTGTGGAAGCTGATCTGACAGTTAAAATCCAGGCAGCTGATCTTTCCAACTGGCTGCCACCTAAATAAATAATTAAATGAATGAATAAATGAATAAACAAGGGAAGCCTTTTCTATGAGATGACAATCGTCGCGACCCAGTGGCAAAGGAACCCGACTGTCCAGGGCTGGATGAGACAGGTGAGTAAATTCATTTAGTGTACCTGGCTTGTCAGCTTGGACACCTCAGTTGCCAAAGCGATATCTGGGCGGTGGGCTAGAGAGCCTCCACGGCTGGCCTCTTCACGTGCTTTCTCACGGTAGCCAATCTGATGGGCACAAGACCCGACAAGAGTCAGTTGATCATGTAGAAACTACAGTACAGGGATGGGTACTATAGGGATGCTCCTTTTTTCTCTTCTTTTGTCTTGAGTTGAGCCTTTAAACACATTTACGTGTACTGAGCTGGTGAGTCAGTATCAGTGTACTTCATGGTTACCTGACTGATGAGTTTAGCAGCCTGGGTAGCCTTCTTTATGTCAGGACGGTCGACTACAGTAGTGTAGTGCAGGCTGGCTTTGGCATCTTTCTTGTAGGCCACCTGTCCAGTTGGACAAAATTGGAAATGCAATATAGTAAACCTGACTTCCACATCCACAGACAACTATGAAAAGCTGAAAAAATTACCCCCAAGTCCAACTACCCCAACTGTTTTAGCCCATTTGTGGAAATGACTCACATTGCTCTGATTTTTGGCCACGTCCATGGCATGCTGAACATCAGGCGGCACAATCATGTGGTTATATATGGACTTGCCCTTTTCCTTCTCAAACTTTTCTTTGTACACTTTCTAAAAAGATAGAACAGCACATCAAGCCCAGCTGCAAACAAACAGTCCAGGGTTACACGCTGGCTGAGCTCATTTTGTGAAACGCATGTAATAGTAAGACAGTCATACCCCGCTGACAAGTTTGTTGACTGTCCTGCTGTGGGCAGTATCACGAGTGTCGGACAGGGTGGTGAATGAGCCGGACTGCATTTCCTTCTTACTGGCCTCCTTGTATTTGCTCTGATGAACAATAAAATAAAGAATAAAAACATTTAAAAGCTCATAAGTTTTACCTAAGGGTATACTATATATACCCTATAGTACAGTTAATTTTTTGCTGAACAGTTCTTACCTCTGAGGCCAGAACACGCACAGCCTTGGCATGGAGAATTTGAGGAGTGTCCAGGACAGGCATGTAGTGTCCCTTTTCCTTCTCATACTTCTGTTTATATTTCACCTGGGATGGGCAAAAGAAAAAAGAAGCAGTTTAGGACATTAAACATTCTTAAGCATCACTATCTGGCCTTTAGTAGTTTTAACTAAATATGGTGTCTCTAATAAAGAATGGGGAAACTTACCTCACTGGCCATTTCAGCATTCTTCATGCACAGTAAGGTTAACTTGTCATCGACCACAGGTATCACGCAGCCCTTCAGGATCTCTTTGTCGTACTTGTACTCAACCTGTTGGTAAGATATGGCGGTGAAAAAAAGAGAGCAACAGTGCTGCATGTTGCTAAAATGACACACATTAAAATAAGAGATCCCAACTCACATCGCTCTGCTGCAAGGAGTTCTTGGCAGCATTGACAAAGTCGGGCCTGTCCGCTGTCCAGATCCACTGGTTCTTGGTTGCTTCATACTTCTTCTTGTAGTCAAGCTAGAAATATAGCAAAATAAAACAGAATCAAATAGCACAAATTTGGGTTTAAAAATGTCATTTGAAAATTCTGGCACTCGAGATGCTCACATTGGTGATGTTCTTGTAGGCCTCCTTAGCGGCACGGATCTCGTGAGCTTCAGGGTCAATGTTGATGTGGGCCTTGCTCTTTTCATACACCTCTTTGTACTTCAGCTGCAAGACACATAAAATATACAAAAGTACATTTTGTATTTTGGTTTCCTGTGCCAGTGTATGAAAGAATATTTTAAAAGTGCAGTGCAGACTTACATTGCTGGTGATCTCCTTGACCTTCTTCATGTGTTGTTGGTGTGGAGTGTCATAAGGTAAGGTGTAAGCCTTTGCCTTGGTCTTGTTATACTCCATCTTGTAGATGATCTAAGCAGATGTAGATAGTAACAGGTGAAATTTAAACACAAAAAAACCCACTGCTTCTTCACAAGTTCTTGTAAAAATCTAAACATAATAATAAAAACCTTGCAAACCCAACACTTACATCACTGATCTTCTTGCTGCGTTTGTGGGCCTCATACTCAGGAGTCTCCAGAACAGAGGTGAACTTGTCCTTGGCACGTTCATACTGCTCTCTATACTTCCACTGATAGAACAAGGATAATGTGAAAACAAAAGAAAGTTAGCATCATGCAATGAAATTGCTGCTGTATTAATTTGCTTGTCTTTATGAATTTTTTGTTGTTGTTGTCTTTATGAATATAACAAGCAACTTCTAAAGTGGTAGAAAAACTGTCCAAGAAAACATCGAAAAAGTCTTGCAGACACTATACATATACAACCCTACTGCAGATTTTAAAAAAAGTCCTATTTCAGCTTCTTAAGAGTCAGTTGAGATGATAGCGCTAATTTTAAAACATCGCTAGCGTTATAGCATATTATAGCTAATTTTAAGGAAAAATTAATTACTTGTTTTTTTCTTGGATAGCTTTTAAACACTATCGGAGCAAGTTGGCTAGCATGTAGTTATAATTAAATCAATATGCAACATCAACTGAGTGAAACAAAGCAATGGAAAAGCTTATAGGCATGCTCGATGAGAGACGTGCACAGAGGGATGCATTATTCATGTGACAATAAAGACAGTTAAATGCCTTACCACCATCATGAAAGTCTGCAGTGCCCACATGGTTTAAGATGTTGTATGTATATATATATACATACAACATCTTAAACCATGTGGGCATATCTATCTATCTATCTATATATATATATTTTTATATATATATAGCAATCAGGATGATTAATAAAGCAGGATTTAGAGACCATACTAACATCATGTTTTTGAAATTAAAAATACTGAAGTTTATGGATCTTATAAAATATAAAACTGCAAAAATTATGTACAAGGCCAGATACAATATGTTACCAGGAAATATACAGAGGATGTTCTATGACAGAGAAGGAGACTATGAATTGAGGGGGAAATTGAATCTAAGGATTCTTAAAGCACGGTCAAAGGTTAAAACCTTTTGTGTCACTATTTATGGGGTAAAACTGTGGAATAGTTTTACTATAGATCTACAGCAATGCTCAGGAATTAGTAAGTTCATGAAAATACTTCGAAAACTGATTTTGGAAGAATATGATACCGATAAAGATGATCACCCATTGTATGTATAAAAATATCAAATTATATCCAAATTATATCAATCACGGTAGCCAAGTTTATATAGGTTCTCCTCGTGTATCGTGTGGAGTATGTGATGATGGGAATTAGGTGAATTATGTGGGATCAATAAGATGTTGAGCAGGGGTAGGAATTAATAAGTATGTTCATACTTCTTCCTACTCCTTTTCAGACCAAACATTGTTACATTATGTCAGACGATTTTGTTTTATTTCATTATATATTTTTTGTTTATCTGAACACATACGTGTGTGTGTGTATATCTACATATATATTCGTATCTGTAAATGAAAATATATGTAGTGTGTATATATTGTTTTTTGTTTTATATGTCTGAAACAAATAAAGCCACTATACAATACAATATATATATATAAATATATACATTATTATTAGGTCTATTATTTAAGTGCATTTAATATACATATATATATCTATATCTATCTATATATAGATATAGATATATATATAGTTTAACATAAGAGAAGACTCTGTGATTGCTATTTTGGTCAAAACTAACAAATTCCAGGAGAAGCTATAATGTACTAAATTTTACTGCATTTCTGACTTTAGATACCAAATTGCTCAAAGGCAGTTGGGCAAACAGTGTTAAAGCTTCGGTAATGAATTGCCCATGAAGAAAAGCAAATGAGCGATGGAGGGATTAGAGCATGGAAGAAGGATGGACTATGTGGGAGTTAAAGCCACTTTTAAATGGAATGACTGGATGGAAAGATTTTCTGCAGGATGGGGATTTTATGTGATAAGACCTTGTCCACAAACAGCAGGGAGGAACAAAGTCACCTCCATCTATGACTTGAGTCTTATGATATATAACACATGGTCTATTTTGTGCCTGTTTGTGGACAGAGATCAGAGTTATCATGCTTCCCTTCTCTCTTTGTTTACCTTACTGCCCATAGTGGTCTGGTAAAGGGCTGTGAGGATGTCAGGGCGGAGTAGCTCATTGCAGCCACCCTTTAGTAGATCCTTTGCTCTGGATTTATACATTTTCTGTCCACATACACAATGACATACACACACACACACACAGCATGCCATAGTTGAGGACACAAAAGGAAAACAGCAGTAACATGGGGGAGGACTGGAGAAGAACTCCGGATCCAAGTGTGACGATGGTGCTGTCTGTCCTTATCTGTGCCCTCAGAGTGACAGGGATGATCATCTACAGCGAGTGTAAGACAATCGGCTCAGTGGATTGAATCGTTACTGTGCTAGTGATTAAACTGTCATTTCTGATGGAGCAGATGAAGGACAACACTGCATAACACTCAGCATTCCAGCTGCTGTTTGAGTGGCAGTTCAACAGCAACCTGTGTGGGACAAAATGAAGAAACTGATACAAAAGGGAAAGAAATTTTTTTGAGTTGGGAGCTCTATAAATGCCATGCGATGTCCACCATCAGCAGTCCTGCTGACAACCTCATGCACCGGTGTCAGGGCTCTTCGGGGACCAGACCGGAGGTGGCAGGCCGGTGGTACAACGTGACCAGGGCGTTTACCTGGCTCATCTTCCTGTTCTCCCTGGCCAGTTGATATCTAGGATCATCTGTAGTTATGGTGAACTTATCCTTGGTCTTCTCATAGTCTGCTCTGTAAGCCCTCTGCTCAAAGTGTCAGAAGGTAGTTAAAAAGGAGTCCCCAGAGAACAAAATGTTTCATCTCGCGTCATGTGGATGAAACATTTTAAGAATTTAAGGAAGGTAAAAACTGACTGATGTAAAGAACAAAGGGAAACATTTTAAACACTTGACTTTAAGGGTAAACACAAAAACAGTCAGTGATAAACAGTGTAGGCAATTATAAAATACTACAATGAATTCCTGTTTTCTTTTACCTCCACGCTGAGAGTCCAATAGAGAAGCACAGAAAAATAGAAATGTGGTTAACTGTTTCATTTGATTTACAAATGCGTTAACAAACTAAATCCAATTTTTATTTATTGCTGGAGGTTAAAGAATGACGGGACTCACATCGTTTATGAGAACGGAGGCTTGCTTGGCGGCTTGGAAGAATGGAGTGTCGCTGGTATACTTGAAGTTGCCTCTGTTCTTCTCAAAGGAGGCTTTGTACAGTCTCTGCAGACAAACAATACAACTTTTATTAAGAAAATACAGAAACTATACCTCGATACTGCAAATCATAAACAGGTGCCATATAAATAAAAATGAAGCTTAATGTCACTGATGCTTTACCTCACTGTAGAGCGTCTTGTTCCTCTCAGCCTGCACCAGCTCAGGTGTGTCCCATACAAAGCAGCCAATACCCTTCAGCCAATCCAGGTCCTCCTTATACTTGACCTAAAAAAAACACATAAAATGAGATTAAATTAAATTGAAATGTTGTGTAGTGTCTCAGTGCTCATTGTACTGAATACTCTTTAATGAACTGTAAACATTTTACCACAGGGTGAATAAAGTCATGAGAACTCACGTCACTAACGTTACCGCTGACAATCTTGCTGAAGAAGAGTTCGGGACGATCGGGGATGGACTTCCAGGTCCCCAGAGAGCTAATGTACTTCTCTCTGTATTTAACCTGATAAGAGAGGAAAAAAACAGTAGATGGAGATGCAAAAGCTCAAAACATGTACATTTATAAAGACATTTATAGTTAACAATGAGCCAGATAATTTCAACTGCCGACCTCGCTAATGTCATCAGTGACCCTGCGATGGTAAGTGATGTCCAGAGCATCCTTGACTGTGTGGTAGTGTCCCTTGGAAAGCTCAAAGGTTTCTTTGTAGCGCAGCTGAAGAAACGAAGGAGAAAACGTGTCATATACATTCATCAAACACACATAATGTGATTTATAGCATCTACAATTTCACACTGACTTGTACAGTATTTGTGGTAAAAGGGTAAAATCAGATAAACAGATAAAGAATATTTATATTTTGACATGGGATAAAATTCACTATTAGTTAATGAAATCTCTTAAATTTGACCGTTTTCAGTGGAAAAATTATTAACAAACAGTCTGACTCCTATAATTCCTGAATGCATAACAGTTTCAAACTAAATCACAAGTTTCCTAAATGAGCAAACTCACATCACTGGACTGCAGGTAGGACTTCTTGGCACGGATCAGGAGAGGTGTGTCAGCAATGGCAGTGTACCGGTGTTTCATCTTCTCATACTGTTCTTTGTATTTGTTCTAAGGGAAGAAACGATTGAGACAACACCTTAGAAATTGGCTTCAGAGGAGACTGCAATTGCTGTAATTTCAATTATTTTGGCAAAGTATAAGAGTATATAGAAAGCAGCTACAGTAAATAGTGTAAACAAAATAAAATACAAACAATTTTAGGTTGAGGTTTCAGTGACAGCGGCATTAAATGAGAACGAAGGATCAGACTTACATCACTGTAGAACACTTTCATTTTTCTAGCATGGCCCATATTTGGAGTATTGATTTCTGGAGTGAAATGAGCTCTTTGTTTGGCAGCCAGATCTACGTACTGGTACTGTAGCAGAAGGGAAAAAATATTGATTAGATTATCAGGAAAGACACACACATACATATAATAGATTCAGTTATTCATGCTGTTTATTTGAGCTTGCCTGGTTAACCAGCTGCTGGGCCCACTTGACTCTCCGAATGTCCACAGAGTCTGCAGTTGTGGTGACTTTGGCCATGTCCTCCTTGCTCTGAGCTTTGTAGATCAGCTGGAAAGAAACAGAGCGAATGTCAAAACGTGTTGCTTTTGTTTTTTAGAATATACTGCAAGCTCATTTTTGTTTGGAAAGCAGATCACATGAAGCTATAATACGATGAAGCACATTTAGGAAACCAACTCACGTTGCTCATGTGCGTCTTCAGCTCAGTCACACGCTTATACTCAGGCGTGTCCAGGACCACAGAGAATTTAGCAAGGTTCTTCTTAGCCTCCACTGGATAGCTCACCTATAAGAGAGAAAAAATAGTTTATATGAATGATGCAGATGCCTGAATATGCATTGGAAAGGAAAAATAGGAATCCATTCTATCCAAAAAGACGTACCCTGAATTTGGTGACGTCGCGGACACGGACCATCTCTGGGGTGTTATACAAGAAGCAGCCAATGCCTCTCAGCCACATCAGATCCTCTTTGTATTTCAGCTAAAAACACAAAACAATTAAAAAAATTATTTTAAAAAACATCTTCAAACTCCACCTTGTAGAGGTTTTGTTTTAATTTTATTCTTTACATACGTCGCTGGTGATCTCATTGACGTGGTGGTAGTGCATGAGCTCAGGCGTTATGGGCAACGATATCAACTGGCCTCTGCTGTTGTAGTATTTCTCTTTGTAGCACAACTAGGGTAAGAAGGGAACAAAAAAAGTCCATCTTACAGCATGAATTTTTTTTTTTTTTAAAAAAGGACATGAATGTTGTAATCTGTGGGTGCCCGTACGTCACTGAGGTGCTCCTGGTTCATCTTGACTTGTTTAATATCAGGAGTGTCATAGGTTGTGTGGATCTTGTCCTTTTGCTTGTGGTAAGTCTCACGATACAGACGCTGGAGGAGCAAGAAACACATGCACAGCACTGTTTTATGCAGCATTTAACATCCATCACAAGGAAATGAAACATTAATCTACAACAGTGGGCCTGGCTTAAGTATAACAGCTGTGTGTCATCTTACTTCATTGATGATCTTGTTAGCCTTCCTTGCAGTGACAAAGTTGACACCCTCTGGGTGAAGAGTGTAGCCTTTAGCCTTCACCATCTCATAGGCCTCCTTGTATTTCACCTGCAAGGATAAAAACAAAAGTGTGTCATTCAGAGACATCAAATTACCGTAAAAATAAAAAAGTTCTGTTCTGCCCAAGCGTGTGTTTGACTTACATTGCTGGAGACAACAGTGTTCAACTTGACCTGCTTGATGAGGGGGGTGTCATGAGGCAGTGAATAACCGGTTGGCATGAAGCTCTTGTTAGCTTCTTTGTACCAGTTCTAAGAGAAGTCAACACACATGATGAGAGATGTTGTTAAAATTTTTAAATATTGATACTATACAATATATGATAATAATTGTTAAACAATCACACTGAATATGAAGGAACGTTATCTTACATCACTCTGGATGTAGTTGGCCAGACGGGCTCTTTCTGTTTCAATGGTAACAGCAGGAGCGGTGTTGGTGCCCTTGATATTGGCGTTGTAATCATAGCGGTAATGCAGCTGGGAAAACAAATGGGAAAAAAAAGATGAGATTTGCGATCTTACTTCTTTTCGTTTGTAATGTACAAAGAGAGTGTTAACAAACTACTGAGCTAGCATGAAACTAAGACAATAAAGTCCCTTACGTCACTCAGGTTCTGAGCGTTCTGCTTGGCGGTCTCGTACACTGGAGTCTCCGTCACCACTGAATATTCTTTGAAAGCATCTTTGCCTTTGGCTCTGTACTTGTTCTAGAATCAAAAATGAAGCATAGCAATCATTTGTTAGGACAAAATCCTTATAAAGGAGATGAACTAAAGTTAGAAACTTAAAACAATGAAGAGGATCATCAAGTGTGTTGCTTGGGCTAACCTCACTCTGAAGATTATCAGCGTTCTTGACACGGAGGATCTCTGGCGTGTCCCAGGCATAGCAACCAATACCTTTGAGCCAGTTCAGATCATCCTTGTAGAAGATCTGGGGAGAGGTAAAATGTTGTGGCTGAAATTAGTTTCAGTGCATAGGATTCAAGAATGTAGCTATTTGATTTCTTTTACATACAATAAGGCAACAAAACATCCTGACCTTTCATATTTTTTTTAGAAATAAACAAAAAAGGAATAGAAAAAACTCAGTGTGGTTTAACTGATTTTCAATATTCTCACAAAAATGAAAAACAAAAACAAATAAAATAAGAAAAAATATAAAATGTAAACATATAGGATCATAGCACAGAGAATGATAGAGCTGACAAAATAAGCAATAACAAGCACAGAATATCAAAGCTGAGGACTGCTACTTACGTCGCTGAGCTGTTCATTGACTTTGCGTGCCTGCACGTACACCTGCATGTCAGGCATGCAAATCCACTGGTGCAGATACTTGCGGTAGTTGATCTCGCTGACGGCATTCTGGGTACTGCGGGCAGACAGGATATCCAACATGTCTGGGGGGATGTGGTTCTTGGCCTTGGTTTTCTCATAGTTCTCCTTGTACAGACGCTGCAATGATGGAAAAACAGATGGTTCTTTCAGTTGTCATATGCACAATAAAATCTACACAGGGATGCATGTTTTTGTAATATAGAGCTAATCAAACAACACAGCCGCTCTATTGCTTATCAAGAGAAATGTCAATATGTGGAAGGTGTAAGGGCAAAACAAATGGAGCTTACATCTAGGACGAGTTTTCCAGCTTTGACGCAACGAGCAGTTCCAGGATCGTCCTCCAGTGACTTGGGCAGGCTGTAGAGAGATTTGAACTTCTCGTAGTCCTCCTTGTACTTCACCTGAACGGGAGAGAGGATTCATATTGCCTTGTAAAGATCAGAAATTGAACATCATCATAACAATAATATGAAATAAAAATTGAAACGTACATTGCTGAGAATAATCTTCTGCTGTTTAGCGTGCTGCAAGGCGTTTGCGTCATGTGGAATCTGGTAACTCTTCGCTTTGATTTTGTCCCAGGTAGAAGTGTAGTTTTTCTGTTGATAGAAAAAGCCAGAACGTCACCATAAACATGTCATTTACAGATATCTATCACTTCTTATCAGTGACAGGAGGACAGACATTTTTACTGGATCTCCACTTACGTTGCTGAAAATGTATTTGAAGTTTTGGCATCTGACGTAATCGTGGGTATCCAGAACCGTGGTGTAGATGTGCTTCTCCTTTTGATACGCCTCTCTGTAGTTGAGCTGTCAGTGATGAATGTTTCATTAATCCACTCAGTATGAGTTCAAAACTGAAACACTAATTTTTGTAGTTTTTAAAAGTGCAGCTCACTCACCTCACTGGCCCAGGTGTGGCCCAGGACAGCAGTCACATAAGACGGGGTGTCTGTCACAATGGAGTAATTGTTGAACTCCTTCTTGGCGTTCTCTCTGTATTTAAGCTATACGGGAGCATATTACATAAGTACATTATCAAACACAAATAGAAAAAATCCAAATCCCCATAAACACACACACAATTCAGGAATCACATGTTTTTACTCACCTCACTTTGCAGGTCATAGGACTTCTTGGCACGAAGAATCTCTGGTGTGTCCCAAACGTAGCAACCAATACCCTTCATCCAGTTCAGGTCATCCTTATAGAACACCTATCAAATGACAATAAACCCGGACAACATTATATATTTTCTTGCAGATAGAAACATCTATTAATGTGGGACGTGTAATAACCTTTCTGGCGTTTATATAAATACAAAGATAAAAGATTTTGTATAATGTCTAGATAATGCTTCCTGTAATACTTCATGTAATAATAAGTTTGTACGGGATCTCGCATAACAATCAGGCACAACCAGGCGGCAGACGTGCACAGAAGAAGGACCTACATCACTGAGGATTTCGTTGGTCTTGCGGGCACGGATGGCGTCCTCCTGTTCGGGGTGGCAAGTCCACTGGTGCAGGTAGGTGCGGTAAAGAACATCACTCAGCATGTCCTGGCACCGCTTAGCTACCTGGTTAGCGATGATGTCGGATGGGATGTGGATTTTGGTTTTGGTTTGATTGTAGTCCTTCTGGTAGACCCTCTGTTTAGACACACACGATAGAAAATTACTGATTAGCGATGCAAAAGAGATTAATTTGAAATAAAGTTTACACGTATTAAAAAATAAGTTCAATCCACAAGGGTAACTAAAACACTTTGATAAACAAATAAACGGTCACGATACATATCTATTGACCTTAGGATGAGTTAGAAACAATAATAATTAATTACCAATTTACACAACCGCCCCCTTCTCTATTCTTATATGCAGTCTATGATCTCAAAAATAAAATTAATACATTGAGACTTATTGATTCTATATACTTGTGATACACATATAGTGGCATCTAACATATTTTATTAATCACCATGTTTTTCTTTCAGCTACTCCCTTTAGATATCGTCACAGCGGATCATCTGACTCCATCTTACCTTGTCCCCAGTATCCTCCTCTGTCACACCGACTTACTGCATGTCCTCCCTCACTACAACATGAACCTCCTCTGAGGTCTTCCTCTTTTCCTCCTGCTCGGCAGCTCCATCATATGTACTGTCCCTTATCGGCACATAGCCAAACCATCTCAGCCTTGCCTCTAATTCGACACCAAACTACTCGACTAGAGCTGTTCTTCTAATATAAACTCATTTTTTTTCCATCTATCAGCGTCACCATTCTCCAAATCCTACATCACAGCAGGCCTCACTGCTGTCTTGTAAACCTTCCCTTTCAGTCTTGCTGCTATCCTTCTGTCTAATGTGTTTTATTACCTCTGCTGAGGAGGTTATGTTTCAGACATATAGCACAACTTGTGAGAGACAGACAGACAGACAGACAGATAGACAGACAGACAGACAGACAGACAGATAGACAGACAGACAGACAGACAGACAGATAGACAGATAGACAGATAGATAGATAGATAGATAGATAGATAGATAGATAGATAGATAGATAGATAGAATTTTATTTCAGACATGCAAATATAATTGAAATAACAAGAGAAAAAACAACTTTAAAATCATCAAGTTTTCATGTATATATCTAGTCAAATTTTTGTAGCTCTTTTATTTTAAAACTTTGCATAAAAATTCTGCTGCCTTTGTTTGTATTGTCAACATTTAGGAAATTATACTGTTGTATCTGAATTCTGAATATTACATTAAAATTTGTATTCAGTTATCACGTCACATTTGAGCTCTGACCTCACTTTTACATTTCACATCTGCCTTTCTTGCAGGTGGGCCCCAAAATGTGTTATATCTTTTAATGATATAATATGTATTATATAGTACTATGAGTATCATAGTATTATATAATAACTTCATATTGTTCCTACATAATGTTTATACAGTCAAAACATCAACATCTGTCATGCTCCCTTTATTTGTATTTTACTGCACTACAAAGTTCTTAAAGTATATTTAAAAACAACAAAGAAAACCAAATTATTAGATACAAAACACAACATTGTTTCCTTAACAGTAAATACTGTCCAGAGAGTGAGCTGCCACTTTGAGTGTCTGTTGTTACTAATGGTTTCTTATTTCTCAGTGCATTGTGTAGTGGTGTAGTTTTTTATACTGTACTATATTTTGTAGTATCTCACCAGTGCCTTGTTCTTTTCCTGGTGTCCACAGCGCATCACTTCAGGGAAGTCCACCAGGGTTCCAGCCATGTAGTGACCTTTGGCCTTTTCGTGGGTATCCTTGTACTTGACCTAATGGTGTTTAGAATGATAAAAATTGCAGTAGTGCAAGAATAAAATATATCATGTTATTAGATTTAATCTTATCACAGTTCTAAAGAAATATAAGACACTCACATCACTAGCAATGTCCCTGCTCTTCTTGGAGATGACCAGTGGGATGTATTCATGGTTCAGCTGGTAGCTTGAAGCCTTCGACTCGTCCCAGTTTGATTTGTAGAGTTTCTAAAACCACAAAAGGTATGTGCAAAGTTTAAGAAAAGCCTGGCACAATACATGTATATAACACAGAACTTACAATAAATAAATTAGAAATCTAGAAAGGATTTGATTATTATTTTTACGTTACCTCACTGATGATCTTAGCCACCTCCCTGCTATGGGCCAGTTGAGGAGTATCATCTGAGCCAATATAATGACCCTTTTCTGCATTGAAAGTCTCTTTGTACTTCAACTATTAGAGAAAAAAATAATTTTTTCAGATCATTGCTCACCGGTTTTCCGATCGAGAGTCATTTTAAATATTAGATTTTGCATACATCACTCAGGTTGGCAGCATTAATCTTTGCCAAAACTATCTCTGGCCGGTCCACAACCAGGGTGAATCTTCCAAAACCTTCTTGGGCAGTCTTCTTGTAAAGTCTCTGTAAATAAAACAGAGCAGTGAGGCAAGACACAATGACACAACATGTGATTAAAAAAATCAACTGAAAAAGAGGCTGAATGTCATGTAATGCAGTAAACATACATCATTGAGAATCTCCTGGGCCTTCTTGACCTTCACATGTTCAACAGAGTCAGCTGCTACCCAGCCACAGCCTCGGAGCCATTCCAGATCTGACTTATAGACGTGCTAGAGATCGAAAGCAAGATGCATGTTAGGGAGTCAAGACAGACGTTTCTGTCAGATTATTATGTCAATATGATTAATAGTTACAAATGTGCTTTACATCGCTTTGCAGATCATAGGCTTTGCGAGCCTGGATAACATCGTTGGAGTCTGGCATGCACGTCCACTGGTGCAGGCGAGTTCTGTAGTTGTCGTCGTTGACCTGCATCTGGCATTTCTTAGCCAGTTCAAACTGCAGCATGTCCACTGGCAGGTTGAACTTGGTCTTGGACTTGTTGAAGTCCTTCTTGTACAGAGCATCGCTGGCGATCTTGGCTGAGTTCAGAGCCAGCATGAGCAGAGGGTCGTCTTGGACGCTGAGAGCACCAATGTGGTGACCGACCTGCTTACGGTATCCCTCCAGGTATTTATGCTACAAGACAGGCAAAAAAAAAAAGAAAGCACTTATTTTTACCACATTATTAAGTTGTCAGTTAAATCAAACCTGATTAAATTTTATCCTACTACTTACTTTGCTTTGCACTTTAGTTGTCTGGATGCACTGCTTGATTGGTACAGCATCTGGAGGCATGAAGTATCCTGTAGCTTTGACCTTATCCCATTCTTTGGTGTACAGTTTCTACAAAAGATAATGTATCACTTATTTTGCTAATAATAAAGCAGGAACTGCACAAGGCTGAAATTTGCTGAGTTAAAATATGCAGAAAATGCGTCATATATGCCATCAGTCTTACCGGGTGAACATTCTTCGCCACTTCTCTGGCTGTGGCAAGAGATGGTGTGTCCACCAATGAGTACTTGGTCTTGTCCTGGTGCCAGGCCTCACGATATTTAGCCTGAGCAAAGCGGGAGATCAAAATTCAGCTACCTGGAATTTGCCACTAGTACTATTTTGCCACACGGTTCACATTAAGAACAAAAAGTCAAAACCAAGCAGCATTTTGATGACAGACAATCATCCCCACCTCATTCAGGACTTCAGCAGCATTCCTGGCACGGACTAAGTCAATTCTGTCAGCTGGAACCATGAATTGCTGTTTATCCAACTTGATCCGATAGCCTCTCTATACAAGAAGGAAATGGAAGAAACTATTCAGTGTGCATAAACATACTTTTTATTTGTTTTTAAGTCTTAGTGAGGTACAAACTTACATCAGCCAGGATCTTCTGCGCATGCTTCACCTTCAACACCTCTACGGACTCATGTGGCATCCATCCACATCCACGTATCCACTCCATATCAGCTTTGTAAACAGCCTGAGAAAAGAAAGCAGGCAGATAATTTATGCAACTGTACTCTATAGGACAAAAGTTGAAACATTGTTACTGGATGAACTGGACTGAAGAGTGAAAACAATAGTATTAGGGGAAAAACTGTAATGTATTTTATCCACTGTAAAAACAGTAAAAGGTGTATTTGGCTGCCGAATGAGTAAAACGAGTAAAAGGATTTACATTTAATAAATGTTTATGATCTGTTCTCTACTTTCTGACTACACTGACACTTTTGATTGGTAGAATACTACCCACATGTGCAACTATAAACTTACATCACTCTGGAGATCGTAGGCCTTTCTGGCCTGAACCACATCATTGGAGTCTGGCAGGCACGTCCACTGGTGCAGGTGAGTTCTGTAGTTGAAGTCGTTGACTTGGATCTGGCATTTCTTGGCCAGTTCCAGATTGAGCATGTCCACTGGCAGGTGGAACTTGGTCTTGGACTTGTTGAAGTCCTTCTTGTACAGAGCATCACTGGCGATCTTGGCTGAGTTCAGAGCCAGCACGATTAGAGGGTCGTCCTGGACACTGAGAGCCCCAATGTGGTGACCAACCTGTTTTCGGTATCCCGTCTTGTACTTGTACTAAAGGGAGCAGAAATTAAAGGTTAATGCAAGTAGAACTAGACGTAGTCAGCAAGTAGATCATTTCTTAATGTTAATTTTGTTTTGTTTTTTTTAACTTACATCACTGATAATATCTCTGGAAGCTTTAGCCTTTAGCACAGAGATAGCATCCTCCTTGATATGGTAGGCTCCTGCTTTCTGGTCATCCCATGCCTTTGTGTACAATTTCTGCACAGAACAAGAAATAAAGTTTTAAAAAAATCAACAAATAAATCAACAAAAATTGTGCGTCTGCACAGACAAGTTAAAAAGTAAACACTGGTAAAGTAAACACAAACGTACATTGCTGATATTAACAGCGTTGGCCTTGGCGAGTTCAAAGGTGGGGGTGTCGGGTGGCACATGAATGGTGAGCTTGTCTTTATCCCAGACTTCCCTATATTTCCTCTGTCAGAGATAAAAAACAAAACAAAACATTAACTGCTTCATCTTATCCACTTGAATAGATATTTTTATCAAATATTTGGGTTTCACAATTTAAAAAAAACCCAAGAAACTACAGAAAGATGTTACTCACATCACTGAGGTTTTCAGCATTTTGCTTGGACAAGACAATAGCTGGGAGGTCAACGACACTGGTGAACTTGACCATACTTGGGTGTTGGCGGTAGAGCCTTTCATTGAGGACAGTCTGAGCATGCTTCACTTTGACGACATCTATACAGTCCTGAGGTGACCAGCCGCATCCCCTGAGCCACTCCAGATCAGCTTTGTACACAGCCTACAAACACAAAAATCAGTTTGAACCTAATTAAATACAGAATTTGTTCATGTATGGTTTGAATTTGACAAACTGTGGGATGACTCAAAATGGATGTAAAAAGGTCTATTTAATCAGTTAGAGACAGATAGAGGATTAAATGTTCTGAAAATAATTGAACAATCGATTAAAATCCTTAAAGTGCTTTCTACAACACCAGCATGTACTTACATCACTCTGCAAATCATAGACTTTTCTAGCCTGCACAACATCATTGGAGTCTGGCAGGCACGTCCACTGGTGCAGGTAAGTTCTGTAGTTGAAGTCGTTGACTTGGATCTGGCATTTCTTGGCCAGTTCAATTGTCAGCATATCTACTGGGAGGTGGAACTTGGTCTTGGTCTTGTTAAAGTCTTTCTTATAGACATTGTCGCTGGCAATCTTCCCTGCATTAGCGGCCAGCATAATTAGTGGATCATCTTTCACACTGAGAGCACCGATGTGATGGCCACACTGCTTGCGGAAACCAGCCTTGTATTTGTACTGAAAATATGGATAGAAATAATGCATCAATTTCAAAATAAATTCAAAAATAACCCTACATTTACTGTGGTGAAGCAACAAAAAGACAAACTGGAGCAAGTGGGAAACATAAACTTACATCACTGATGATGTCTCTGGAAGCCTTGGCTGATATAACAGAGATTGCATCCTTGGGAAGGTAGTAGCCTTTGTTGATCATTTCCATATAGCCTTCACGATAAAATTTCTGGAGATAAAAGAATAATGCTTTTAGGGTCTCATGTTCTATACACTGTAATACAAAGAGCAGTACCTATGAAAACATAATCATTTGTACCATGCTAACATGTTGTAAAACCTATGCAAGAAGAGACTGTATTACCAGACTGGTGTTGAGTTTATTCTGCTGGGCCAAGATGATCTCTGGGGTGTCAGGCATTACATGAATGTTGGTCTTATCATTCTCCCAGGCAGCAATGTAGGCTTTCTGTAAAAAGCAGATTAATATACTCAGTATACATAAAATGACTCAAAGCCCTACAAAATAAAAAGTTAGTGTCATTGGTGTGACACAAAAAGAACCTCATATACTTTTGATGCACTACTTTTAAAGACCTGGCTCCCACAGAACAATAATGGATAAGATGTGCTATCTGTACCTTGTCCATAACCTGGGCATTGGCCTGAGCAAGGGCATATGGCATGTCAGCTGTATTAGCGGTGAACTTGAAGTTGCTGGGATGCTGACGATACTTTCTCTCACTCAGAATCTCTGCCGCTTTCTTGGCTTTCTCCACATCAATTGAACCAATTGGCACCCATCCCATTCCCTTGATCCATTCCATGTCAGCCTTATACACAGCCTGCAAGCCGAAGGAGAAGAAGAACCACAGGTCACAGCTACAGATAAGCCACAGAAGACAGAGACTGGAGCTAATATTCAGCAAAAAGTGATAAGTGCTCACATCACTCTGCAGGTCATAGGCCTTTCTGGCCTGAACCACATCATTGGAGTCTGGCAGGCACGTCCAGTTGTGCAGGTGAGTTCTGTAGTTGAAGTCGTTGACTTGGATCTGGCATTTCTTGGCCAGTTCCAGATTGAGCATGTCCACTGGCAGGTGGAACTTGG